GGGGGGGGGGGGGGGAACAGACATGTTTTAATCGAAATTTTGTCTCTGCTGGTTTTGAGATATGGATGTTACTTAAATATAATTTTCTTTGTTAATCCCTGCGTGTCCGAGGACCACGATGGGCTTTACCCAGTTCTGCCCAATGCAGCTTTGCTGGGTGCAGGGGAGCTGCTTCTCAGGAAGCAGAATCAAGCCCTGGTGATGTCCCCCAGTGCCCACAGACGAGTCCTTTACCTTCAGCCTGGGATGCATAAAGGTCACAGCCAAGCAGAATTTCAGTAACAAAAGCAACCCGGGCTTAGCTCCCCCGGTTTCAGCTTTCACTGCCATCTGAAACCTGTTTCCAAGATTTTAATCAAATCTTGCACAAATAAAACGTCTCCTTTTGTGTACCTCCCGCTGTCCACAAAGTACACACACGCATGCATGCGTGCACACACACGGGCTCCAAAGAAATGTATGGGAAGGAGTGTCAGCCAGCACCAACCCCAGCTGTTGCACCTAAGCTCGGTTCAGAAATTTCAGGGTTTTAATCCGAAAAGCAAGCGCAGCAGCAGGGGCCAGGCGACCACAGCGTTGCATCCCAGGCTCTGTTTGCTGTATGGGTTTTACGACGCCCATTAAAGCCTCATCGACACGGCTGCCACGTGCAGTTTGCTGCCTAGATGCCATGTCCTCCTCTTGCTGTTGCTGCACTGACAGGGAACTGCATTTGATTTTCCTCCTGGGAGACCAGGCAGGGTGTTATGGTTTGATTTTTAAATACTAACAGGAGTTGCAGTTGCTCTGGAAAATTATGTCACCAGCATCTCCAGCATCTGTAGAACAGAGATAAGTAATTTGCCTTGCACGGTGGGAAGGCAGAGAGGGACATCTATTCATCTGGCTGCAGTTTTCCAAAGCAAGGAGGGATCTGGGGGCTCAGTTTAAGACCTTGGAGGCTTCTCAAAACGGGATCCCTATTTTTCCTCCAGCTCCCCGACATCCCTGGGGACAGGACTTCAGAAAGGCAAGAGGATAACAACCCTGACCTGCTGAGAGCCAGTGCTGTATCTCCATATGAATTTCATGCTAAGGGGCATCTGCCCAAAACCCACCACCCCACTTGTGCTAGGTGGTTGCACCAACAGATGTGGAGCCTGAGAGATATCCAGCCAGCAAAGGGATAAAAGAGGCCAAGATCACAGAGTTCATCTCCCAGTCAAATTCCCAGTCTGCTCTCCCCAGGCTCTGCATGTATAAACTATTTCTATGCATCTGATCTTTTTAAAGCACTACGATTTACAAACTTTAGGGATTTTGACCTTAAAATGCAAGTTACTCCACTGCACGCCAAAGCATTAGCATCTGATTGCATAAGCAAAATAAATGGCAGTAAAGGAAAAAAAGATGCTCTGAGCAGGAGGATGGGAGTAAAGTCATTTTTCACCCGAGTTTCCACTCGGGGTCAATGCCTCTTTAAAGCTCCCCTCGGCCACTCACTTTTTTTCCCATCAAAAGCCCCACTGTGTCCTTGTCTGGTCTCCGCTACTTTACCCAGTAGCCTGCATGTAAATGGATGTACAGCGGGTCAGAGTGGAGCCAGCTGACCCAGCGGCCTCCTCCCACCCTTGCTCTGATGGATGGACACCAAGGTCAGGAACCCAATGCACTGTTGTCTCAGGTAAAACCCGCTCCCTGCCCAGCCTCCTCATCTTCCCCTTCCCAGGCCTGAGACTAATCCCGCAGAATGCTCAATCAGGAGGATTTCAGGCCTTTTGGTGGCATGAAAGCAGCACGGGAACAAGTTTGGAAGCAGGTATGTGTTGCTTTCATTTGCAGAGAGTCAAGAAAATTCATCTCTCTGGGACTGTGCATCCCAGGGCTGCATGAATTTGTGCCTGTCTCCCTCAACAGACCTCAGTCCTTGAGCCCTGAGCTAGCTGAGATCCTCCCCTGAGCCCCCACGCAGGACAGCCACCACCCCTGCCCCACCTCAAGGTATCCACAGCCTGGGATGTCCCCCCACCCCTGGATGTCTGCGATGGAGGAAGAAGAGTTTCTCAGAGGCTCCGAGTTTCTCCTACCCTCTTCCCACGTGCCCACAGCAAGCCCGTGACCACCAAGCCCTGGTAGCCCTCATCTCCAGTCCACACCAAGCCCAACGCTACCCAAGCTCATCCCCACACCGCGCCGAGCCCCCTCAATCCCAGCTTTCACGAAGACCAAAACTAGGGCATAGTTAGTGATGGAGGAAGCTGAAATGCAGATTTCCCAACATCCCCCAGCTGGCAGGGTTCAGCAGCCGAGAAACCTTTCTCAGGATAAGAGGCGGCTGGGGAGAGGGGGGCTGAGAGCCGAGACCCTTCCCACGCTCCGCGTCGAAGCAGCCCGGGCACTGTGGAGGCACCATCTCCCCATCTCAGGTTTCCACCACCATCAGGC